CTCTCTCTCTCTCTCTCTCTCTCTCTCTCTCTCTCTCTCTCTCTCTCTCACACACACACACACACACACACACACACACACACACACACACAGCATACGGACATGCACACAGACACACATACCGACCCCCTTCGTCTATGGGCGCGTCTGAGTCTGCGTGTGAGCGAGCCTGCATCTGTTTCGGGTCGGTGTGCGGGTGCCAGAGCAAGAACCTAGCAAAGAGTGCGGCTTGCAAGCTCACTGGTATGTAAGGGAGAACATGCACATCGCCTGAACAACCGGGCGAGCGAAAAGCGAAGAGGAGCATCATCGGTTCCCCGTCCGCATTTAGATGATGGGTACAACGTACTACCAGGGAACAGGCCGACGCCAACTCCGAACTTCTGATGGTGATGGACAACGTAATACCACGCTAGGGTACATAAACGTTTACACATAAACAGCTGTAGACAAAAAAGAACGCAAGGAAAAGTGGCGCCCGTTTGCCTGTCCGTCTGCAGGTTTGTCCTAAGCCTCTCTCTCTCTCTCTCTCTCTCCTATGTGTGTGTAGCCACAAAGCTAAAGAGTGCCTTTGAGAGTAAACATACATACACAGCTACCTGAGCATCTATATCAATCTGCTTACCCCTCTCTGCTCGCTCCCTGCTGCAAGCGACACCTTGCGCGCATACCAGCCCTACCGTCGACATTCATTTCTCCAGGAGTCCAGTGTACATCCACGTCTTCTGCGCTCTCTCTCTCTCTCTCTCTCTCTCTCTCTCTCTCTCTCTCTCTCTCTCTCTCTCTCTCTCTCTCTCTCTCCCCCTGTGCGTTCCCTCTTCCCCCTGCACTCTCCTCCCCCACCCCACCCCCGACCTCCCGCCATGCAATGGCACGTAGATAAGAAGAAATATTGGTAAAACTGGTTCGCGATCGCTCCGGGAGCTGTGCCCGTAATTAGATCTACCAGCACAACACGCCACTCTCCTCCTGCTTCACCTCCCTCCCCCCCGTTTCCCAAGGTGCCTGCCTCGTCTTGGATCTGTTGCCAAGAGCAAACATTCGCACCGCATGAAAATTTATTTGTGAAGTATTTCAGGACCAATACATGCGTGCCGGAAGATGATCGTCACGTGACGGCCAATAGTTCGGCAAAAAAAGACTATCGAGGAGGCATTAACAGTTCTCATCAGATAAGAGATATGATCACAATTCAAAGAAGGAAAGGATGACTGATTGGTAAAATTGGACTTGTTTTTCTTGCCATCTGGATGAATTATCATAATAGCACAACTGCTCTAGTTCCTGTCTGCTTATCATACGACAACCACTCAATCGTGTGCTCTGGCGCGTTTCCCCCTTCCTCCGCATGCTATTTCATTCTTCAGAACGAGAAGGAATAGTCTATTCCTCTACCCATCAAAGCACCCCCTCGACTCTCTCTCTCTCTCTCTCTCTCTCTCTCTCTCTCTCTCTCTCTCT